TAGAACCAAGCATCACCTTGAGGTGGTGTATTCCGATGTGTATGTTCCGATTCAAGTTGATTCGTTTGGTGGCAATAAATATTTTGTCACTTTTATTGACGATCATAGTAGAAGTCTATGGGCATTCCTAATCAAGAGAAAGGATGAGGTATTCGAAGTGTTTAAGAAGTTCAAGTCCATGATTGAGCAGAAAAGCGGTCACAAGCTCAAAGATCTCAAAATGGACAATGGAGGTGAACATGTCTCAAATGAATTTGGGAAGTTTTGTGATGAAGAGGGGATAGTGCAAGAGGTAGTATCACCCTATACACTACAGCAAAACGGTGTTGCCGAAAGGAAGAATCGATCAATTATGAACATGGTGAGAAGCATGTTAAAGAAGAATAACTTTCTGCAAGAGTTGCAGGGAGAAACGATATCAACAACTTCCTATTTGTTGAGTAAGTTCCCTACAAAGAAGCTTGAGAAGATAACACCGAAAGAGGCATGGTCTAGATTCAACCCAAATCTGAACCATTTGAGAATTTGTGGTTCTGTGGCATATCGAAATATTTCGGGCCAACTTAGAAAGAAGTTGGATGATAAGGGAGAGATGATGATGATACTAGTGGGGTATCACTCCACTGAAGGTTAGAAACTACTTGATGATGAAAACAGAAAGATTGTGATCAGCTAAGACATTATGATCGATGAATTAAAGCCTTTTTAGCAAGCGGTAACAGGTTACGAGCAGGCTGTAACTAGTTACCAGCAACTTGTAATCAGTTTTAGGTTCGAATTTTCATATTCTAGGGAAATGGTAAGTGTAGAAGCGTCATGCGTCAAAGCCTGAACTGATGAAAATGTAGGAAGAATAACTAGGCAAATAGGTTTGCCTCAAAGACTCCAAGACTTAGATATTTTGTGACAACAAAATCAATGATGATGGTGATTTCGTCCATTTTGCACTTATGGGTGAATCTAATCTTGTTAAAATGAAATAGGCCTTTAGCGATCCAAAGTGGATTTGTGATATGAAAGAGAAGTTGGAATCGATTGAGAATAACATTACTTGGGAGTTGGTTGATCTACCGAAAGGAAAGAAGTCAATTGGTGTAAGATGGATCTATAAGGTGAAGGAGAATCCCAAAGGTGAAATAATCAAGCATAAGGCTCGATTAGTTACAAAGAGATTTTGGAAAAGAGAAGGTATAGACTTTGATGAGGTATTTGAGCCAATTTCTAGAATTGAAACCATAAGAATAGTTATTGGTGTTGCGAATAACAATAATTGGTCCATCTATCAAATGGATGTGAAGTCCTCATTTATGAACGGTGCGCTTGAAGAAGAAGTATATGTAGAACAACCCCTGGTTTTGTTGTGAAAAATCAAGAGGGAATATTTTACAAGTTGAGAAAAGTGTTATACGGATTGAAATAAGCTCCAAGAGCTTATAACAAAAGGATATACGATTTCCTAATTGAGGTTGGCCTCAAGAAATGTGTGTCTGAACATGGATTTTATGTGAAGATGGATACAAATGAAGGGATATACATTCTTTATCTATACATTGATGATTTGTTGATCACAAACAGCAACAACAAGAGTATTTCTATGTTCAAGAGTGAGCTTATGAAAGAATTAGAGATCAATGACCTTGGTATCATGACATATACTTCCTTGGAAAATAGTTCCACAAGTCCAAAAGGGGACTGCTTATGCATCAAAGGAGATATGCTCTTGAGATTTTGAAGAAGTGTGAAATAGAGCATTACAATGCTGCCATTATACCAGTTGAACCCATGTTGCAACTGTCAAAGAATAAAGAGGAGCAACACATAGATCCAATTCAATATAGAAGGTTTATTAGATCATTGTGATACTTGTTCAATGCTCGACTAGATTTAGCGTTTAGTGTCAGTATTGCGAGTAGATTTATGGAGAGACTGAAGGTGTCTCACTTGACAATAGTCAAAAGGATCCTAAGATACTTCAAAGGATCTATTGGCTACGGATTTCTCTTTTCCACAAAGAATACATGTAGAAAATACAATTGGCTTGGTTTTACCGATTCTAATTGATGTGGCAATAAAGATGATCGAAAGTCTACAACTGAATGCATCTTTATGTTTGGTGGAACACCAATATCATATTGTTCAAAGAAGGAACATGTAGTTGCACTCTCGTCTTGTGAGGCTGAGTATATTGCCGATTTATTATGCGCGTGCCAAGTTGTGTGGCTAATGAATCTATTGAAAGAGTTGGGAAGCAGTGAGGGTGGGGCTGTTACACTCTTGGTTGATATTTTTTCCGCTATTAATCTTGCTAAAAACCTAATTGCACATGGGAGGAGTAAGCACATTGAGATGAGGTTTCACTACTTGAGAGAGCTTGTTAGTGAAGAAACGTTAAACTTAGGATATTGTAGAAGTAAAGACCAAGTTGCCGACTTGTTGACTAAGGGAGTTACAAATAATGTGTTCAAGAGGTTGAGATGAGTATGGGCATGGAAGACTTGGAGCCCTTGAAATAAGGTGGTGTGCTAAGAGAATTTTAAGTATTTCAAGTGTTGTAACCGGTTACAGACATCAAATAAGTTAAATAAGTTGCAGAATAAGTGCTTTTAGGGTTGCTGTAAACAGTTACTCATTTGTAGTAACCGGTTACACCTGATAGTAGTTTTCAGTTTTGTGTCAGCTGTAGCGGGTTATAGGTTTCTGATAATCGGTTATAACCCCGAGTTTTTTACTTTTCTGGCTTTTGACTTGATGCTTTTGTATCCCAATTATTGTATAAATACTATGATGGTATGTTTGTGATAGAGAATGAATAGAATCATAATTCTCACCCTCAATTATCTCTCTCTCTCTCTCTCTCTCTCTCTCTCTAATTCTCTTCTCTCTCACTATCTCTTTCTCCACATACTCCACCATTTACCAATTGTGTGATTGTATGTTCCAACATTACTAACACGCCTTAACCTTATATATTAATTTTTTTTAATAACCATCTATATATCAACAAAAAAATCTATATTTATCATAATGATCGATCCTTATGTAATGAACAAAATCTAAAATAAAATCAAAACTTAAACTTTAACATCGATCCACAAATTTCAACAAAAAATACCAATTCAACAAGTTTGATGTAAACAAGTCTCAAACAAAACATAAATATTTTCAAGGAAAACACAATATACTAATATCAAAGTAATCTCTAGAGTAAAAGTAAAGCATAATCAAATCCTGTGTGTTATAAGTAGAGTCATCATTATTGTCAGAATCATACACTTTATAATATGGATAACGATAATGTCGATCACCCTGGATGGAAGTAACACTCTCAATTAATTCCCTCAACTGTCTATTTAAACATTGTGTGTGTTTATTTTACTCGTGTCATTTCTTTCACGTAACTTGAGCATCATCCTTTATAGTATTTGATCTCTTTAATTGTTTCCATTTGTGCAATAGCCTCAACAGGAACCTGACTGTTATATGATACTTGTGATTGTTGGGCTAAAGAGGAGACATGTGACTTGTCATGTTTAGACATGTCTCATTCACCATAGAAACGACCCTTAGTCTTACCCAGTGGATTCAACGCATAAATTTAGCCAAATTACGGGATCAACTTCCTTAGTGCCATTATGTGCCTCCCCTATCCAGCTTCTGATCTCCCAACATGTCAAATTAAACTCTGATACTAGTTGTTGGAGGAAATTTGACTTAGCGAAAAACAAAGAAAAAAATCACAACACTAAAATATAGCGTAGAAACTTAAAAATAGAAGGGAAAAAAACTATAATTATGCATATTGTAGTGTATACATGTTACCTGTGGCTACTGGTACATTTGTCTTTTCCCTAAATATATTCCATGTTGGCTACTAGGGTATGTTTACTACCTTCAAAATCGCACCATGAGACGACATAATCTCACTCGCCAATCACAACAAGTGTCATATTCCTTTGATGTATGAATGTTCAATTTCATCCTGACGAACAATCAGACGATCCAACTGATGTTCGCTCCATGTAGTTCAGTGGTATCTATTTTTTAATGATGCATCTTATATTTTTTAAACTTTCACGAAACTCAAATATAATAATTTATCATATTTTAAAAATAAATATATCATCAATTTTAAATAAAAAAATATGAAAGGTCAAACAAAAATATTTCAATTTAAAATTAAAAAAAAAACTAATTCCATAAATAAGCTAAAATAGAAAATTTAAACTTAATTAATTAAGCCAATTTATATTCATCTCAACTCATTTTCATATTATCCAAACATAAACTATTTTATATTTAATTTACTTTTAAACAAAACAAAATCAACTAGTTCAAAATTAATTTTGACCAAATAAACAAAAACAAGGTATTATTGGGTGAATAAATCCCATTCAACTAATGAATACATCTAAATCACAATCCAAAGAAAGAAAAGGGTGATAATAATAGTAATAAAGGAAATGAGACATGATGATATGATACAAGTAAAGAGGATAATAAAGCACCTTACTTTTTTTCCCATTCAACCAAAACGTGCTTTTTTATTAATTTATTTTTCAAAATCATTTTATACCAACTTTTACCCTCTCTTTAGTCTTAAAAAAAGGTCTCAAAAACCAACAGGTCAAAATCCTCACTCAATCAAACAAACATACATAAACATTGTCTAAGTCCATAGCCGCCAAACAACAATGTCAACAAAAACAACATCCTTTTAAAAACAATTAACATTAACATCGTTTCTTCTACTACTAATATCAATAATCCTCTCTTCTCTTCTCTCGTTTTCTAACAACCATTTTCATAACAAGTTGAAAAATCTTTCTACCTCGGTTTTCGTGCTCCCCCTTGTTGTTTGTTGTTACTACTTTTCATAAAACCCCATTTCTTCTCTCTCTTTCTCTCTATCTCGTTTCAAGCTTCAAGCTTTTTCTCATTTGAGATCTGGGTTTTCTTTCTTAGAGGCTTTTGCTTTCTGGGTTTTGAGATCCTGCACTAGAATGGGAAGTAAATGGAAGAAAGCAAAGGTGGCTCTTGGTCTTAATCTCTGCATGTTTGTTCCAAGAACATTAGACGATGACTTTCCTCCTTCTACGGTGGTTTCTGAGAGGCTGTCGGATGCTGCTCTTCTCTCTTCCCGGCCAACTACTCCGGTGCCGTCTTTTCATGGTTTGAGACTTTCCAAAAGTAGCAGCAAATCGTCCAAGGTTTGTGTTGTGTTGTGCCTCTCTGTCTTCCTCTATATGTCTCTTTCTTCAATTTTGTTTCAAATTTTTTTATAAGATTTGTTTTGTTTGTTTGCTAGAATCTTCAACTTGTATCATTGTTCTAAATGGGAAACATTACTATGGTTTCTGCTTATAATTTTTCACCATAAAAATAATTTTTTTAGGAAAGAAATTATTTGTTTAAATGAAAATTGTGTTGGTGCACTAATATAAACATTTTTATTTATAATTTTTACTAATTTTATTGTATTTAATCATATTAAATCTAAAATAATTCTTTAAATTTTTTTTCAATGACCCTTTATTATCTTGATTTAAGTTCTTATAGAGGATAATTCATGGGATACAATTTTTTTTTTTTTTAATTTTAGTTTTGAGAATATTAGATTAGATGCCATGATAGTGTTTGTAAAAAAGCTACATTTTGATTTAGTGGGTTAGATTTTTTCCTTATATTCAATATTTGAGGGATTATTATATTTAGATAAGGGATCAAATTGATAGTGGGGGTTATTTTCAAGGACCCCAAAAACATTGTTTAATTTCATATATTGAGTTTTGCTAACTTTGTTTGTCTCTTTCGATTGTGTTAGGACTAGGTAGTTGATTGAGCTTTTCTTTTTTTTTGACATTTACCAACAACATATAAATATGTCATCATTGTGATTTTAAGGTGCCTTGTTGATGTTATGATGTTATTGTTTGGTTTAATGCCTCATGTTGAGGATAAGATTTTCTTCTACTTTTTGTTTCTATCGGTTGATCAAATGTTTATTTCTTTTGAATAATCTATCATGAGAGTATAGACAAGCTCTAAGTCTAACGAGCTTTTGTTTTTCAATTGTTCAGCAAACTTGTGCAATATGCTTAACCAAAATGAAGCAGGGATCTGGTCAAGCTATATTCACAGCAGAATGTTCACATTCTTTCCATTTTCACTGCATTGCTTCAAATGTGAAACATGGGAATCAAATATGTCCTGTGTGCCGAGCAAAGTGGAAGGAAATACCCTTGTCGGGTTCTAGTTTGGAACATATCCAAGGTAGAGTAACACCAAGTCCAATAAATTGGCCTCAAAATGATGCTTTGATGGCTGTGGTCCATCGGCTGCCTCTACCTTTACCTCATCCTCGCCGAGATTTGAATAGGCGGCATATTGTGCCAGTTTATCAGGCTTCTGAGCCGGGCGTATTTGACGATGATGAATCTTTAAATCACCAACATGCAATTTCTGAGAGAAGTATTTGCAGTAAGAGTATTGAAGATACTGATGCTGTTCGAGCTATGGAGATTAAAACATACCCTGAAGTGTCTTCCACTCCAAGGTCTAACACTTGTTCTAACTTCACAGTTTTGGTTCATCTCAAAGCTACTGCTGCAGCCGCTGCTTCTACCAAAAGACAAAACCTTAGCAGAAATCAGGCTACCTTGACGCAGATTTCGCAGACTCCACGTACCCCAGTTGACTTGGTCACCGTGCTTGACGTCAGTGGTAGCATGGCGGGAACTAAGCTCGCTCTGCTAAAAAGGGCCATGGGATTTGTTATACAGAACCTAGGCTCTAATGACCGGCTTTCTGTTATTGCTTTCTCTTCCACGGCTCGCCGTCTCTTTCCATTATGTAAGATGACTGATTCTGGGCGGCAACAGGCATTGCAAGCTGTTAATTCTTTGGTTGCAAATGGTGGTACCAATATTGCGGAAGGACTGAGAAAAGGTGCCAAGATAATGGAAGACCGAAAAGAAAAGAATCCAGTTGCGAATATTATTCTGTTGTCGGATGGACAAGATAATTACACTGTCAGTGGCTCGGGAAATGACCAACCTGAACCAAACTACCATTTGCTTCTGCCGACTTCCATCAGTGGTCGAAACAATTCAGGATTTCAATTTCCCGTGCATGCTTTTGGATTTGGTGCAGACCATGATGCCTCATCAATGCATTCAATTTCTGAGATCTCTGGCGGAACATTTTCATTCATCGAAACTGAAGCTGTGTTACAGGATGCATTTGCACAATGCATTGGAGGACTCCTTAGCGTCGTTATTCAAGAGTTGCAAGTGGTGATTGAGTGTGTACACCCTGATCTCGGTCTTGTTTCGCTTAAAGCAGGAAGTTACCCTAGCCGTTCAATGGCTGATGGACGCAAAGGATTTATTGATGTTGGGGACTTGTATGCTGATGAAGAGAGGGATTTTTTAGTTTCAGTTAACATTCCAGCTACGTCGAGCAGTGAAACATCGTTGATAAAGGTCAAATGTGTTTACAAGGATCCCTTGACTCAGGAGACAGCAGCATTGGAAAGTGATGAAGTAAAGATTGAGAGGCCTGATGTAGCCGCCGGGCAGGTTGTAATGTCTCTTGAAGTGGACAGACAACGCAACAGGCTCCAAGCAGCCGAGGCAATGGCACAGGCACGGACCGCAGCTGAACGGGGAGACCTCACTGAAGCAGTATCGATCCTTGAAAACTGTCGGAAGATTCTTTCAGAGACCGTATCAGCTAAATCTCATGACCGTCTTTGTGTTGCATTGGATGCTGAACTCAAGGAAATGCAAGAGCGGATGGCGAGTAGGCATGTGTACGAAGCATCTGGGAGAGCATATATACTCTCCGGTTTGAGTTCACACTCGTGGCAAAGAGCAACTGCAAGAGGCGATTCAACTGACAGTTCAAGCCTTGTTCAAGCTTATCAGACACCATCGATGGTTGAGATGCTTACTCGATCTCAGGCCATGTTACTAGGTAGTTCATCGGGTCAGAGGCTTCTCCAGCCACTGTTGTCATACAGATCACAACCAAGCCCAAGGTAAATCCAACAGGGATTTTGTGGAAATCATCTTCAAATTACCTTTGCAGTGGTTTTCTCTTTTTTGCGTATAAAATACTCGGAAGGTCGGTAACGGTAAACGGAGGGGATAAATACTTTGAGCTGTGATTTTGTTGTTTAATATATGTATAAATGAATAAAAGGTGGGAAAGGGTGGAGGGTTACAAGGGGGAAGTAGATAGGAATTTACTACATTATGTTTCTTCTATTTTGGAGGGTTTAAGGTTTTTCTTTTGTCTTCACTTCTCTTTCTTTCCTCTGATTATGTTGTTTTTTGGGAGGTGGTGTACATAAAGAAGAATGCTTCTTTTTTTGTTATTAATTCTAGGACACCTGGGGTATAAAGTTTGTAATTGTGCAAATGGTTGGGATGATCTCTTCAGTATAATATATGTTTTCAATTCTTTAACAAGTTATTTAGTATTATTTGTTTTGATTTAGCAAATACTTGTTAGATGAATGAGCATAGATGTGTATTGAAAGGTTGTAAAATAGATCATAATTTTGACTTCATAATATTAAGAATAAGTAAAGAAAAACTTATTATCTTTTCAAGGTAACTTTTTTAAAGAAGATACTGTTTCCATGTCCTCGGTGGTCCAAAGATCTATTTTTCTTTGTTTCTGAACACAGCACTCGAGGTTGTTTATAGGCTCATATGCTAGGGAAATTATGCAAGCCACATGTGATTTATATTCTGCACTGTGGCACTCATGGATGCCACACGTGAACAAGGAAGCCCTCTGTGTTACTGTGGTCCATTCTGTTATACTCATTTCTTTCATTTTTTTAGTTTCTTTCTCTTGCACCTTTGTCAAATCTTGAGATACCAATTTATAATTTGCAACAAGACAACAGAAAATTGGTGACTGATACTCAACCCTCACCAAAAACCACTGTTTCTATTACAATTTTGAATAATGAATGTTACAAGCAATGTTTCTTGACAAAACACTGAAATGAACCATGCGTGTAGCTGTGACAGCAAAAGTCGTTCTGTTAGCATTACGTTATTGTTGTTATGACAGTCAATATGAATCACTGCAAGAATGGTAAAAAGACAAACCAAAATATGACAAGAAAGTGAACTAACATTTACTCTTTTTTTTCCCATTATTAAAGTAGAACCAAACAAGTACTTTTTTCTGTTCACCTTACAGTACTTAAAAACCCTTGATACCCAAAATTTCCAGACATAGACAAAATTTACCCCAATTATCACTTCCATAAATTCAGTCACGTAGTCAACAAAAGTCAACACTAGGGACAGCAATAACTACATATTCAATATGAACTGGCTCATAACTCTCTAAAATTTGATTTGAGATTTTGGAATATGAGAATTTCGAACAAGTTTTTTCAAGTTCACAGCTCCAGTAGAGAGTCTAGACGCGCCTGTCTTCATTTGGTTTAGGAATAGTCTTGTACTCGTAGTTATTAATGTCTACCTTTTGTTGCAAATCCTATCCAACAACAAATAAAAATGAAATTGTGGATCCCGCAGATTGGAATAAATTACTATTGAAAGGGAAAACAAACCTTAAGCTCATCCTCCAATGAAATCTTTTTTGGCTTGTATGCATTTACTGGTCCTGTTCTAGACAGTGCTTTTCTGGCTTCAATTATTTCCCATTCCTGATCATCTTTTACCCTTGCAATGTCCTTGCTGGAAGACACAGTGGCATTGTACTTTAGAATCGTGATGGGGTAAAACGAGAAAATAATGAAGTATTTGACAAAAACTTACTACATAAATCCAATAACAGTAAAGTAAAGGTCATTCACATTTCACAAGCCAAGTCAAACCATGTCCAGGTCCTACGTATTCATATTTGGACTAAGAAGGATGGTCCATGATAAAACAGCCCGAATTGAGTGCAGTAATATTGGGCGAACGCCCGAAACAGGATTGGTCACCCGATTGGGCATGGGTCTCCCCGTCAGAACCGAAATCCATGATCTGTTTCATTTAATACAGGTGGCCTGTGAGATGTCCAAGGACAAGGAGTAACGGTTATAAGATATCAATCAAAGGAAGAAAACCGTCTCCTCCCATGATTTGAGGAAGAATCGGTCTTCCTCCATTCACACGTTTATGATCAGGAAATTAGAGAAACTGTTATAAGATATCAATCAAAGGAAGGAAACCGTCTCCTCCCATGATTTGAGGAATATATATATATTAAGAATATTTGGATGTAGAATAGTCCCACATCGACTATATCATAGCATTAGTTGTAATCTCTCTATATATAATAAAGTCTCCGTAGTGCTTTTCAAAATACACGGTTTAACCTAAATGTCTCTTAGTCTCTCCTAATTTAATATGGTATCTAGAGCCTACTAAGAGACAATTCTTCGCCGTGTTTTACCCGGTTGAGCCACTGTCTTCCGGTGACAAATTTTTTTTTTTTTGCAAACCGAGTCATCACTCCAATTTGCCTCCCACTTTTCAAAATTCTCCAGTAACCACCGAACTGCTGCCGCCATCCGCCGCTACAAATTTCGGCGACTATCCGGCAAACTAACCCAACCGGCAAAAGCGCCTCCTTCGATCCGACCGATTCCGACGATTTTAACACCATCGCACTCACCACCGTGCAACTTTTCCAAATCCGATACTCTTGGCTACTCCTCAGAACATAATTCATCTGTTGACTTCTCTCAATCATCTTCTCTTGGACCTTGGATCCTTGATTCTGGTGCTTCTGATCATGTTACTGGTAATAAAAATCTTCTCTTCCCTCTCTACCTTTGGTTTCTTACCTACAATAACTTTTGCCAATGGTTCTCAAACCCGATCCGAAGGAATTGGTACATTCTACTTTCTCTCTTTGTTACTTCTGTTCTCTATGTACCTAATTGTCCATTTAATTTATTTTCAATCAATCGTTTAAGTTGTTCTCTTGATTGTATTGTCACCTTCACTAATAGTAATGTCACCCTGTAGGATCGGAGTTCGGGACGAATAATTGGCGTCGGATGTGAGTCTCAAGGCCTTTATTACCTCTAAGTGTCATCTCAGACATGCTCAACAAAAGATTCTCCACTCACAATCCATGCTGAGTTAGGTCATCCTATTCTTTCCAAATTACAGAAGTTGGTGTCAAGTTTATCGAAAGTATCTAATTTACATTATGAGTCGTGTCAGTTAGGGAAACACACTCATAGTCAATTTTCCAATCGAGTCAATAAACGAGCTTCGTCCCCTTTTGCTTTAGCTCACTTCGATGTTTGGGGTCCCTCACGTATTATCTCTACTCTTGAGTCTAGGTATTTTGTCACCTTTATTGATGATTTTTCACGTTGCACGTGGTTATTTTTAATGATATTATTTTCTATTTTTGAAAAATTTTATAAAGAAATAAAAATTCAGTTTGGTGTGTCTATTCGTACCTTAAGAAGTGATAATGCTCGTGAATATTTATCCCAACTGTTTCAAACTTTTGTCAGTAATGGTATTTTCCACCAAACATCTTGTCCTCATACACCTCAACAAAACGGGATAGCCGAACGCAAAAATCGACATCTTGTAGAAACCACTCGGACCCTACTTCTCCAGGGTAATGTTACACTTCGGTTTTGGGGAGACGCTGTGCTAACAGCATGTTACCTTATAAATCGCATGCCATCATTTGTCCTTAACAATAAAATCTCTCATTCAATCCTTTTTCCCCATTCCCCCCTTCACCCAATTCCTCCCCGAGTCTTTGGGTCTACATGTTTTGTACACAATCTCTCTCCTGGTCTTAATAAACTATCAGCTCGATCACTAAAGTGTGTTTTTCTTGGTTATCATCAATTCCAAAAAGGTTATCATTACTATTCACATATCCTACAACGATACCTCATGTCGGCCGATGTCACCTTCGAGTCTGTTCCATATTTCGAGTCCAGCCAAGTAACTCCAAAATCCTTTCAGAAGAGTACTCTCACACCTCTTCTGGAAATCCCATATGTCATTATCCTCCATCATTCTAGGAAACCTGACCCACTAGATAACCCTACGGTTAACCCCTGACTTCTCGTCCACTTCAAACATATCAGCGTCGTCAACCAACGAATGTCGTACCTGTCCCTGAGGTCGTACATGTCCCTGAGGCTGTACATGTCCCTGAGGTCATTGGAGACTCTCCTCTGACGCTCTCGCCATCACCGAATCCGATCCTGCAACCTGATTCCGATCTTCCGGTTGCCCTTCGAAAAGGTATACGTCAGACACAAAATCCTTCTCCACATTATATTGATTTATGTTATCATTGTCTTTCCCCTTTGCAGTATATTTGTTTGTCTTCTTTGTCTTTTATTTCTATTCCTAACACTCCAGATGAAGCATTATCTCACCCTCAGTGGAGGCAAGCAATGATTGATGAAATGTATGCTCTTCAAAACAGTGGTACTTGGGAACTGGTTCCTCTACCCCCTGGAAAATCTTTAGTAGGTTGTCGTTGACTTTATACAGTGAAAGTTGGTCCAGATGGTAAGATTGATCGATTTAAAGCTCGCTTGATAGCCAAAGGATACACTCAGATTTTTGAATTGGATTATAGTGATACCTTCTCGCCTGTAGCCAAGATGGCATCTGTTAGACTTCTTCTAGCCAATGCAGCCATTCGACATTGGCCTCTTCATCAACTTGACATCAAAAATGCATTTTTACATGGTGATCTTGAAGAAGAAGTATATACGGAGCAACCACCTGGATTTGTTGCTCAGAGGGAGTCATCAAATATGATTTGTAGGTTACACAGGTCTCTTTATGGTCTTAAACAATCTCCGAGAGCTTGGTTTGACAGATTCAGCATTGTAGTACAACAATTGGGTATGGTCCGTAGTGAAGCTGACCATTCTGTCTTTTATCGTCACTCAGTCCAAGGGTGTATTTATCTTATTGTGTATGTAGATGATATTGTCATAACTGGTAGTGATGAGCAGGGAATACCCCAGTTGAAACAATATCTCAAATCAATTTCAGACCAAAGATTTTGGTAAACTCTGATATTTCTTAGGTATTGAGGTAGCCCAATCTAAAGATGGTTTGGTGATTTCTCAGCGGAAATATGCTATGGATATTTTGGAAGAAACAGGTTTGTTGAATGCTAAACCAACTAATACTCCTATGGATCCAAGTGTCAAACTACTACCCAATCAGGGGGAGCCTTTATCAGACTCGGAAAGGTATAGAAGATTGGTTGGAAAGTTGAATTATCTCACAGTCACTCGTCCAGACATTTCTTTTGCAGTCAGTGTGGTAAGTCAGTTCCTAAATTCCCCTTGTCAGAAACACATGGATGTTGTTATCCGAATTCTGAGATATATCAAATGTGCTCCAGGAAAAGGTTTAGTGTATGAAGATACAGGACATACTCAGATGGTTGGATACTCCGATGCTGATTGGGCAGGATCACCAATTGATAGACGATTCACCTCTGGGTATTGTGTACTTGTTGGAGGAAACCTTATATCTTGGAAAAATAAGAAACAAAATGTAGTTGCAAGATCAAGCGCCGAGGCAGAGTATAGAGCCATGGCGATGGCAACATGTGAACTTGTTTGGTTAAAAAATTGCTCAAGGAACTTAAAATTGAAGAAGCAAGACCAATGACACTTATTTGTGATAATCAAGCTGCATTGCACATTGCTTCAAATTCGGTCTTCCATGAGCGGACCAAACCTATTGAGATTGACTGTCACTTTGTCAGAGAGAAGATCGAGTTAGGCGACATCACTACAAACTTTGTCAACTCGAATGATCAATTGGCAGATGTGTTTACGAAATCTCTGCGAAGTCCCAGAACTAATTATATATGTGGCAAGCTTGGTGCATTTGACTTATATGCTCAAACTTGAGGGGGAATGTTGATATATATATATATATATATATATATATATATATATATATATATATATATATATATATATATATATATATATATATATATATATATATATATATATATATATATATATATATATATATATTGTTAAGAATATTTGTATGTAGAATAGTCGCAGATCGACTATATCATAGCATTAGTTGTAATCTCTCTATATATAATAAAGTCTCCGTAGTGCTTTTCAAAACACACGGTTTAACCTAAATGTCTCTTAGTCTCTTATAATTTAATATCTTCTATAAATACCCAAATCCTAGAATTGGGGAAGGATTATTCACCAATTTCACAAAAAACACACAAAGTCTCTCGCAATCTCCACGTGAGCAGACTCTCGACTACTGTACTTTCAGCGAGTAAAATACTAATGAGGTTAGATCAATTATTGACTCCTAAACAAACTAAATGTACAATGATATAAACTTGCATGTCAAGAACATATGCTTTAGCTGAGCTCTGGCCTTCTTATTCTACAAATTTTGAGTATATAATTAATTTCCAGCCATAAAAACTGATTTTTGGTTCATAAATTAATAACATTTAAGTAAGACCAATTTGACCCATGTTATACTTAAGAAATAGTCTAAATTTTCCTTCAAGGGTAGTTTCAAATAAGAAATGATGATGTGCCTACTTTTCATATAATAACATGTTCTTAGTTCCAAATGGTTCTCCATAGTGTCATGTTATCCACTTCACACTACTCAAATGTAACAGAAAAACTAAAATGGTTCTTATGTTTTCTAGGTGTTTAATTGAAGGATAAGGCAAAAGAGTTGCTCTAAAGATTGATATTTCAACACCACATTCATGATGAGTAGCTATGCATATACGTGTAATCTGAACCACTTTTTTATTCATCATCAAATGGTTTTTATTGCTCCATTTACCCTCTAAAATGAATTGTTCACTTTAGAGAAACAAGATCATTAATTTGGAAACATACGTTAATCTCCTACCATATAACACAAGCTTCAAAACTAGTAATTAGCAAAATGAAAGTAGCAATAGAGTGACAACAACACATAGTAACTAATGAAAAGGCATAAACTAACCTGCCCTGCAAAAGATGGCCAAGACCAAGAGCACCAAAAACAGTAAGAGAGATCATGGGAAGACCATATCTAAGAAAAGGGCCTTTTCTGCCCCATCTCTTGAAAGCCGAAGCTGATTTTTGAACTTTAGCAGTTTCTTTTCCAGCCTGACTTTGAAGTGTAGTCATTGATTACACAAGAAGAGTGGTTTCTTTCAACTACAGAATTAAGGAAAGTACCTGATAGAGTGAAAGCATAAAATTCATTAGAATAACTATCACACACACATTTTAACAAACATGTAACGTTCAATCTGTAGTTTAGTTGTTAAATTATATGAATTTGTTTGGGTGCGCATTTAACTATATCATTTCTAAAATACACTTTTAAAATTTATTTTACAAAACAAAACAAGAGATTACAAAACTTCCTCCCTTAACAAATAAGACTCACACAGTAATTGCATCAAAAATCAGGAAAAATAATCCACATCAGCCTTGCATCTAAACAGCACGCAGAAGATAAAAACCTCAACCCATTCAATATAAAAATAAAAAAATCAAACATACAAAGATTCGAGCACTTACATCAGCAATTAAGGCGGCGGCGAGAAGACGGAGCTTCAAAAATTTCAGTGAGACAACGAGAAAGGACACCGGTGAAACGCAGCAAGTATACGTGTGCGATTTGGTAGTCGGCGATTCGGGTTGCCGGCAAGAGGATGCGAGAAGAAATGGCGTCAAGACGACGCGGACGGCAGCTTCCTTCAATCGAGGGGGAGGAGGGATTTTTTATCATAGGGAGGAAGAGGTGAGGAGAAGGGAGGGGTGAAATTTTATTTATAAATACATTCAGTTAATAAGAAGATAATATATTTTAAAATTAAATTATTTTTTTATTTTTGTAATTTTACTATGATTCGTGAAATTTAACATTATAATTCAAATATAATTTATTGACGAAATATAAGTATATTAATTAAAAAATATTATGAAATTTTTTATAAAAACAAAATAATTATAATGTATTATTTTAAAAAATTATTGATTACAATAAAATCTAATAAAAATTATTATAAACAAAAACATTATAGTAATTAAAAGATAATATTAAAATATAAAAAATAAAATAATTTTTTTATAAATATATATTATAAATAATAATAATAATAATAATAATAATAATAATAATAATAAAATAGAGATATAAAAATATAAGAAATATAAAAGTAAAATAAAATTTATTTAAAATACAAATTTTAAATTTTAATTAAATAAATAAATAAAGATAAATATATAATTATAATTATATAAAACATATTCGTTCTCCTCTAAATCCTTTCAAATTGTAGGAAGTAAAAAATGGTACAGAAGAGATTTTGGTCTCTTTCATCTATTTCTCATTACTCTCTTAAATTTTGAATAAAATATATAAATTATTAAATATTATCTCTCGTTCTCTCTCTTTCATTTACTCCCAATAAAACTGACTCTAAACGACAATTTTTTTCTTCTTTATTTTACTTGAAAAACACATCTTTTATTTTGTTTTTACATCAATTTGATGTAATATATATTTATTTTAGACTTGAATGATCTTTTAATCTCTGTAAATTGATGTGGTTTTTATTTTCATTTCTGTATTTTTTTATAGATAAAGTTCTTAAATGTTAAATTTCTTTTGGTTTTAGTCCTTAAATTGAAATCCGCGGGAAAATCGGCATGTTTCCTGCATATTTTAATTTTAGAGACTAAAATCAAAAGAATTTTAATATTCAAGGATTATTTTCGAGAAAAAAATATATATGATGAAAATCAAAAACGCGTCAACTTACAGAGATCAAAAAACTATTTAAGCCTTTATTTTTATTTGGTTTTTTCTTTTTACTTTAAAACACATCTTCTAATTTTTTCTGGGAAGTAGTCTTTCCACCCTTAAGCTACGTTTGGATTGATGAAATGAAGCGAAATGGAATATTACAAAGTTATGTTTTATTGTTTAGATTAGTTAAAAAATGATGGAATGAAACGGAATATGATTGAATGAATTTCATCTCATTCCATCACTTTCCTTCATTTTTTTGTATCCTCTGATTTGGATGGAATCAGAAAATTAATCTATTCCATCATGAAATATTCAAACAATGGAACAACATTTTTATTTTGTTCTGCTCCGCTCTATTCTATTTTGTTTCACTCCATTCCATTATGTTTTGTTAGTTATACAGTATCCAAGAATAGTCTTAGGATTGCGTCTCACACATCTAAAAATTATTTTTAATGTGTCCGAAGATGCATCTCCAAACACACCCAAAATCACACAAATCCTCGCCTTTTTTATCTCCACCCCATTTTTAACAAAACATGATCTTGAGATGCATCTCCGTACGTTATTTAGGTGTATCCGAAGATGCATATTTGAAATACCATATATACTCCTTTTTTTTATTTACTAAATATTTTTTAGGCACACATACTTGTGGTCATTTTAGATCATGAGTTCGAAGAAAAACACACATATTACTGATAAGTGTGTAATTCATGGTAAATTGTCACATTATAACATAGCATTTATCTTACCTACATGACAAGTTTCTTACATAAAAACCTCAATTATTGAATAAAAGTAGTTTGTGCAACTCTACTTTGGTTTAGTTCACATTTGTGCAGGACATGGCCTTAAAACAAAAACCAGACTTCAGACACTTTACTAAGCGAAGCTCCAGCGAAGCCAGACATAAACTCTTCAGCCTGGTTCGCTAGAAGCAAGCCAACAACAAAGAGTAACAAAGAAAAGTTCTCTTAGCGAGTTAAACTTTGCTTAGCAAACTTTGGCAGTTTCTAGAAGATATGTGAAAAGACTTAAGACTGAAGAAAGCTGTAAGAACAAGATTTGGATCTATGTTTAAATCTCTGAGTTTTGATGATAACCAACATATATTTTATGAAGAACGATTTTAGTTCTATTAGTTTCATTGAGTATGCAGATACATGATTAGAATTATGAATAGTCTTAATCAAGATATCATTAGAATCACATTACCACTCAGAAGCAAAACCATTTAGTTATGTTTCTAATGAAACATCAGTAGTTCTATGGAATGCTTAATGTTCGATAGGAAAATAATCTTAATGAGGTTTTGAGAAGAAAGAGTTTCTGATAAGCTGCTGCTTCAAGATCAGAAATCAAGATTGCACAAGAAACAAGCTTACAACGCAGAAGATCAGAAGCCAAGATTCGTTCATTAGAAGAGTTGATGCTTGGATTCTAAAGATAAAGTCAAGATTATGAACACATGTGAAGAAAGATTCTACTCCAAGATCAGAATCGAGATTTGCTCATTAGAAGAGTTTATGCTCATAGTCTGAAGATAGAGTCAAGATTCTGAAGACTCTGAGAACTTATGGAATACACACTTTCGTTCAACGTCAGAAGTATTCCATCAGAAGAAATGAAGAAAGGTCTCGTGGACTCACATCTAATCAACATCTCAAAGTCCATCATCAGAAGATAAAGATCAAGAAACATAGTCAAGAAGAAAAGAGTACAATGACAATATTATTCATAGTAGTTGTTATCCCACTAACATACACCATTACTGCAAGAAGCAGGTATAGGAAAGTGACGTTTCTTACTATTCCAAACCTCTATTGAATATATCCGTTGGGATTCATGAAGGATAGAAAAACACAAGAAATGGGGTTTGATTAGGATTTTCAATAATTAAAAATAGTATGACACGTTTGGTTATCCTGGTTCGTTTAAACTCAAACTACTCTAGTCCACCCGCCAAGGTGATTTCGCCTCTCTCAATCGAGGTCTTAATCCACTAATCAAAACTTTGATTACAACCCACAAAGACTACCGTCAATGTCTTCTTGAGACTAAACCACAATTTGGTTTCTCAAGGAATTACAAAATGTGAATAAAAAATGTGTACGAGAATGTTTCTAGTAAACTATATCACAATTGTGATGTTTACACAATGTTAAAGCACAATGAACAATATAATAGATAAAAGAGCTTTATGAATATTTCTATTGTATGTGCACAAGTGTTGTTTGATCACACTTTAAGAACTCATTTATATGGGGAAGCTTTTTAGATCCATTTGAGACATGAGAAGATATTTTTGGAAGATTGAAAAAATATTGTTAATGCACTTTCCAAAAACACAGATCTTGTCTGATACCAGACGTTAGTCCTTGATTTGTAATGAATGAAATGTAACGCATCAGAATTTTGCTTCTTTGAAATCTGATCAGAATAAGAATAATAACATTGAGACTTTAGATCATCAGAGTATTGCTTCATCAAATTTTAGCTTGTCACTTTGGTGCTTAAGAAGTTATAACATCAGAACTTCTTCTATTGAGCGTGATACTTTAATTTAGTTTGTACAAATATTCTTGTCAGATTCAAACTATGTTCTAACAATCTCCCCTTTATTGATGATGACAAAAACTTGTATATTTTGATGAACAAGTAAGAACATAAAGCATCAGGGTCTCCTCCTGAGTTGAATACTCAGATAAATAAAAAATAGATACTTCCCTGAAGATGTTTGATCAGAGATTTTGATGGAAGTTCTGGTAAGTCCATGTGGCAGAAGTTACTTCTAAGAGACATTTTTCCTGTTTGCTTTTCAAAAAGTGAAACAGAAGTTATGTTATAAAAAACGTTTGTAGTCCCGACATTGTTATATTCAAAATATCTTACATTCTCCCCCTTTTTGTCATTAATCAAAAAGCAATAAAAACACGTAAAGAGAGCAAGAAGGTTATGCATTTAAGAACATAGATTAGTCAAACAGAAGCACACAAACAAAAGTTTAAATATAAAGCATAGCAGAAACAAGCAAAAGACTAGATCTAAGGTTGTGAAGGAGGTGGAAGTCGTGTGAACAATGCTTCCAAGAGACTTTTGATCTGACTATTTTATTCTTCTTGCTTGCCTAGCATCCCCTTAATTTCTTTGTTGGTTTCATTTTTTTTATCCAGCCTTTCCCTAACAACTTCATTCTCTTTCTTCAACTCATTCGGAGTTTTCAACACTAGAGAAAATGAAATTGTTTCAACAATAGAAGCCATATTTTCAAAAGTTACTGCAACGGATTCTTTCTCAAGAGATTCTTCAACTGACTTGCCTTTGTCTTCAAAAATGACCAGAGGTTGAGCTTGATGTTCAG